GGGCCCCCTGTAACAGAGAAAGATTCTGCCAATCGTGTGTCCCCCACGCAACCCGCTAACGCAGTCCAGCATTCCATATGTTATGAATACCGATGATTATTATGAGAATGATTCAAGCTTATAGTGTTGATGAACTCTATGATTTGTACAGTTGGGTTACTGCCCCCCCCGCTCCTCCGCGTTGATCGCGTCAGAATCTTGCCGGTGGTGGTGGTGGTTGTCATGGTGATCATGGTAGTGATTCTAGTGATGTGATGATGGTGGGTGGTGTTGATGAATTGGGATGTGATAATGATCACGGTGGTGATGATGACTCGTGGCGAGTGGTGGTGGTGATGATGGTGATGATGGTGGTGATTGTGGTGATGATGATGATGGTGGTGGTGGTGATGATTGTGATGTGATGATGATGATTGTGGTGATGATGGTGATGTTGATGATTGTGATGGTGGTGATGATGGTGATGATGATGATGGTGATGATGATGATGATGATTGTGATGATGATGATGATAGTAATGACGGTGTTGTTACAGGAAGAAGAGTTTTGGGGCAACAGCAGGAATGGCTTTCGTCTCCACTGTCTGTTCCAGGAGCCACGGGGGCGGGATCAACGTGGTATGCTGCTGCTGTCTTCTCTTTGGCTCACTCATCTGTCTGTCTCCTCACAAGCGCTGCATTCAAGTCAAATGGAGAAATCTGTGAATTTAAGCTTCAGAGGCCACAGAGACAAAGATAGCTGATGTATATCGAAGTGAAATAGCGCGAGTGTTCAGATATTTAAAACGTCAAGAAGATTCACTGAAAAAGTCTGACTGAAGCTAGAAATATGTTTATGACATGTAGAGCTGTCACCACATCACGGTTGTGTTATGTGATTATTGCACCAACATTTATTCCGATATGCGATTTTATTGCAATTTTCAGACCATCTTATGCCACTGATAACGTGATAATATAATAGCATAGAAATAAAGTACGCTATTTCAAACAACGTTTTATTTGTCAGAATAGATTAGACATTAGAATCTGAATGTGAACAATATCTCCAATATAAATACAAAATAATAAGTGCAAGAGACACGGAGCGGGCGAAGCATCGGTCGGGTTCGAGAAAATGTGTCCAGCGGAAAGACGGCGCGGCAGGCGGGAGGTTTAACGCTACGGGGCCGCAGGGAGAGACGCAACAATCGGCCGGCCCGGGGGGACCGCAGGACGGGGTCCTCCCGCCCGAAGGGGCGACGGGGCGACGGGGCGGTCCGGAGGAAGCGACAGTAGTTCAGGTTAAAGGCCGGCGGACGGTCGTTGTTTTGGGTGAGAGGTTAGCGTAGTTAGCTTGGTTGGGTTCACTGCTTCTCTTCACCTGTTGGTGTCGCTCTGTGTGCGCGCTGCATAAGCCCCGCCCCCTTTCAAAAGGGACAGAGGATCAACTTCAATGTTGGTGACGTTCATTTGAATATCGCAGCACCAACAATGATGCAGGCGATGTCAGAGTGCGATGTGTCATTTTATCGCATATTGCGACAGGTCTAGTGCGATGTAAGCAGAAGACTTAGTTTACCCTGTCCCTCTCCTTCCACCTCCATCTGTCTGTCTCCGTCCCCAGTTCATCGGCAACAACATTGCCTCCTTTGCCTCCATCGTTGCTCATGAGCTGGGTCATAATCTCGGTATGAACCACGATGACGGGCGATCGTGTTCCTCTTCAGTGGAGGCCTGCATCATGAACTCTGGAGCCACGTAGGACACACACAGTCACACACAGTCACACTGTATATATACACATCACACACATGTATGTAATGTATGTACACACCCCCCACCTCCTCCCAGAGGCTCCATCAACTTCAGCAAATGCAGTGCCGATGACTTTGAGAAGATGATGCTGCTGACGGGGGGCTCGTGTCTCCTGAACGTCCCCCGGCCCGACGAGGCCTACAGCGCCCCCTCCTGTGGGAACCGGCTGGTGGACGTGGGGGAGGAGTGTGACTGTGGCACCCAGAAGGTGCGTCTGTGTACATGTAACCCTGATGTTCTGATGAGCTTTACTGTGTTAATGTGACGCTGATGGAGACCTTCAAACATTCTCAATCGGGTTCTGCAGCAAATCCTATGGTGTGTGTGTGTGTGTGTGTGTGTGTGTGTGTGTGTGTCCCAGGAGTGTGAGGAGGACCCCTGCTGTGAGTACCACACCTGTAAACTGAGGCCCGGAGCTCAGTGTGCATATGGAGAGTGCTGCTACAAATGTCAGGTGACCTGATCCAAACCACGGATTATTATCACAGGAAATGTCCTTTTTATGTGTATATTATATAACTGTGTGTGTGTGTGTGTGTGTGTGTGTGTGTGTAGTACCTGCCAGGTGGGTCGGTGTGTCGGGCCAGTACCGATGAGTGTGATCTACCTGAGTACTGTAACGGGTCCTCGTCCCTCTGTCAGATTGACGTCTTCATCCAGGTGAGACTGGAGATATTTTGTCTGCCCCCCCGTGTCTCTTTATTGTGCTATAACGTCTCACCTCCATGTCCTTCACCAGAATGGTCATCCCTGTAGGACACATCAGGCCTTCTGCTATAACGGAAAGTGTCAGCACTACGATGGACAGTGTCAGGCCATCTTTGGATCCAGTAAGTTCACCAATCTGTTTATCCACGTCTCAGTCTCACCCTGGTCCACGTCTCAGTCTCACCCTGGTCCACGTCTCATTCTCACCCTGGTCCACGTCTCATTCTCACCCTGGGTCCACGTCTCAGTCTCACCCTGGTCCACGTCTCATTCTCACCCTGGTCCACGTCTCATTCTCACCCTGGGTCTAGTCTCAGTCTCACCCTGGGTCTAGTCTTAGTCTCACCCTGGTCCACGTCTCATTCTCAGCCTGGGTCTAGTCTGTCTCACCGTCTCCTGCCTCCTCCTTTTCCTCAGAGGCCAAAGCAGCTCCTGAAATCTGTTTCAAAGACGTCAACAGTAAAGGAGATCGTTTTGGCAACTGTGGTTACCACAACTACGGCTACAAGAAGTGTGAGAGCAGGTACGCACACGCACACGCGTGACGTCTCACCGTTTAATTTGTGTGACACCGCATCCCAGACCGCTGTTGATGTTTAAAGTATTTATGTTAGTCCTCATGACGCTGCTCCGTCTCCATAGAAACGCTCTGTGTGGGAAGCTGCAATGCTCCAACGTCCAGGCGGTGACGGTGTTCGGCATCGAACCGTCAATCATCAGCACGCCGATCGCAGGGGGCAAGTGTTACGGCGTGGACTTCATGCTGGGGTCGGACGTCCCCGATCCGGGCATGGTGAACGAGGGCAGCAAGTGTGGAGACAACCAGGTGAGCAAGCAGAGCGCTCCCACGCCGCGAGGGGCGGGTCCTAATCACGTCCGTCGCGTTGACGCTCGTCTCTCCTCCTGTGGCGTCCAGGTCTGCGTGAACTTTGAGTGCAGCAGCGTCGATGCGCTGAACTACGACTGTGACGTGGAGAAAAAGTGTCACGGACACGGGGTGAGACATGTCTGTCCCTCAGGCGTTTCCCACGCTGACTTGTCTGTCCACCTGTCTGTCCCTCAGGTCACACACACTGACCCGTCTGTGTGCCTGTCTGTCTCTCAGGTGTGTAACAGTAACAGAAACTGTCACTGTGATGACGGCTGGGCTGCACCTTTCTGTGAGGTCAAAGGTTACGGAGGAAGCGTGGACAGCGGTCCCACCTGGAACGGTACCTTCCTTTAATTTAATCTCACATTAGCTTACTAATGCTAACTCATATAAGCTAACTCGTCTTAGGTTTCTTGATTTACGCTAAATGATTCATTTAAACGTGTCACTTCTAGCTGATACTCGTTAAGGTTACGGCTGTAATGCGAATACTTCCTGTTGACGTAATCTCTCCGTCTGTCCTCCTCAGAAAACGATACGTCTGTCAGAGACGGTCTGCTCGTCTTCTTCTTCCTCGTCCTTCCTCTTCTCGCTCTGGGTGCGTTTGTTTTCCTGCGCAAGGACGAGCTGCTGCGTCGCCTCGGGCTGCGCCGCAGGAAGAGGTCTCAGGGATACCAGTGAGTGACGGATAGAACTCAGCTGACTTCACGTGTTCCCTGCTGCCTCGCCTCCACATCCTGGAGGCTTCTATCTGTGACGGTCCTCTGTGCTGCGTTCGAAGACCCTCTGTTCTTCACTGTCCCCTGTGCTGCCTTCGAGGACTCTTTTTACATTCAAAAACAAAATCCACGTCGGAATTCTCTCTCATTTCCGACTCCTGTGTCCAGGGCCGATGCCGCAACGTCAGCCAATCCCAGCAGAGGACCGCCTCCCAGAGCTCCGCCTCCACCTGTCACTCACGGCAACAACATCGTGAAGGACGGGGTGAGTGTTCTGTTGACGGGCAGCGCGCGTTGCTGATGTCATCAATACGAGTCCTAACATCTTCTCTTCTCCCTACATGAAGCACAACGCTCAGCTGCTGCCACCGCAGGAGGTAAAATACTTACAACTCACCCTGTAATACTTCTTCAGTAGTAGTACTACTGCTACCGGAATCTGTAGTACAAGTACCTCACAGTCGTACTCACTGCACAGTGACAGCGTTAACATTTAAGCTAACGAGACGTGTGTCCATCAGGTGGTGGAGACCAGCAGGACGGCGTCCTCCTACGCGCTGAGGCCTCCTCCTCCTCCTCAGTAAGACCAATATCTTCGTCTCTCTACAACCTGAACTGGTCCAACGAGCCGAGAAGTCTAAGTGACCTCAACGCTGGAGAAGCTAAATCATCCCACTAATCCAGCGAAATACCACGTTGAATGTTGCTTTTTGAAGAGAGTGGAAATGTTGTGTGGAGCAGTTATGATTGTTGACTTCTCTTTTATTTTTCAGTAAACCAAAACTTTCTGTTGCATCTCATCCTCTGGTGCCGCAAAGACCCGCCCCCGCTCCACCTGTTTAACCAATCGATGGGCCCCGTCCGCCCCACCTGGGCGACACCGGCCTCCTTTGCATCTCCTCCTCAGTCTGAAACCCAGCGCGAGCCGACTATGGCAGAATGTCCGACAGCAGCCCTGGACCGCCGCACGAAGGCCGACCGCTCCCCAGAAACTGGTCCCAGTCGGACCGGGACAGGAAGCCGCTGCAGACCTTCTTTCTTTATATGTAGTTTAATCTGCTCAGGTGATGCGCATTCTAACTAATAATCACATTGACTTTAACCAGCTCGCAAGCGGTAGCTAATGAACAGCAGAGCTTCTCACAGTTCAGACTATCAGGTCAGTGATTTCAGAGAGAAGCAGCTACGCATTCGCTTTTCACGTCTGCAGATTGTATTCACGCTTCAAGATTCATAAAAGCCGTGTTGACTTGGGAAAATGATCTCGAACGAACGTGTCTTTGCGTAGGACATTATTTTCTGCAAGAATACAAAATGAAATATGACAATTCCGTCGGCTTGAGGAGGAAACCAGGGCAATGCTACCATGCTAGCTTCATGTTGGAACTTCATATTATTATTATTACTGTCGACCTTTTTGAATGTAAAAATGTAACCACTATATTTAGCGCCCTATGGTCTTTTATTGCTCAAATTTGAACGATTAATCAGACGATGTGGTCTGGCTAGCTGCCAATCACGTGCTCTGATTGGCCGGTTGGATGACACACAGGTCCCGGGAGGTGGAGCTTACACTTGAACCCTTCTCTCTGTTTTCTGTCTCTGAAGCACTGGTGAGCGGCAGAACGTAATGCGCGCCTCCATCTCTAATTCCCGGAATTGTAGAAATCAGAGCCGTGCTCGTCTAGGTTCTTACTTTCTGTTCTGGTTCCGAATGGTACGTTGATGTTTGTCAACAGTGAAGCTACGCTAACGCTTCAGTGTCTCCTGAGGATACCTCAGGCCTCGTCCACACGTACACCGGCCAGTAGGCGGCGAAAGAGACTCAAATACCACAGAAGAGGCAATAACAGTTTGAGATACAGAAGCTAACAAAACGTAAACAAGCAGTTGTTTACTGTTCCTTCGGGCTCTGCACCAATGATGATGTCATTGTTTCGATTGCCCCCAGTGTTTCAGTTTTAATGAACTAATTAGTTCTAAGGGAGGTGGGGCCTAAATGCTCACAGGACACGCCCCCTCTGTTTTTTAAGCCTCACTTTACTGGTTTTTGACCGGCTCTTTGTGTCACCGGGAGATTCCATTTAGTCAGTGGATCCATTCTGACAGTCGGGCGCCCTCGTGTGCGGTTCTCTCGCTCTACACTTTAAAGAGGTCCCTCACAGGGGGAACATCGAGCCCTTCGGTCGCTTCCATGCCACCTCCTGGAGGAAGAGGAGGAAGAGTTATTCTGGGAGGTCGGAGCAGCTGAAGGGCGTCGCGTTACGAACACTTCTGCTGATGCGTCACTTTAAGGAGAAGTCAGCTGATGTCCTGAGGAATCAGCTGGTCTCACACACAAACCAGCACTGAGGATCCATCCGCTGCAGAAAGTAGTCCAACTAAATTTCAATATATAGTAAAAATAAATTACATAAATATAACAAACTAAATCGTTTTTAACAGGAATCTTCTTTGAGGAGTGAAGTGATTTTCTTCTCTCAGTTAATCTTTATTTAACCTAGTTTAGCTTTTTGTGAATGAATATATGTCTTCTGTCTAAAAATTACACAAAATAGAAAACACGGCGGGAAATAAAGAGAGGAAGAACTTTTTGGCGTCAACGTTTTTCTAAATTTACAAACGTGACGTCAGAACACAAAGATGGATTTATTATTTTTAATGAGCTCCTATGAAACCTCAAGCAAAATTTATTGCGTTTATTTTGTGTTTTTGAAGTAGGAACCAACCAGCTCGGTTCGACTCTGAACGTGAGATTTATAAAAAATGTACATATGAATACATGCGATCACACACCTGAAGCCTGCTGGTCACGAGCTCGGAGGTCAAAGGTCATATGTGTGTGTGTGCTGCCTGGGGGGCTGCAGCATCTTCACGAGCAGTTCTACATGTTAATGCAAAACCTGTTTAACCCCTGAGAACAGTCCGACCTGTCACCATGGCAACGCTGGGAATCGCTTCCCACTTTTCTACTATAATAAACAAATGTAAACATTGTACTTGTGGTGATGATTCTGATATGTTGCTGTGATTTTATTTTAGCAGCGGTTATGATGGCTGAGATCGATCTGCTCTGCAGCATCATGTGACAATTTAATAAACTGTATTCAGTCACTGGAGAGTTGTTTATTTAATAAGAGTAAAAAGAATACATGTGTTTATGGTGCGCATATACTATACGTGTTAATAAAACAACAACACGGAGCTCAGGTTCTGCGCCAAACCGGCCGCAACTTTATTTTTATTTTTCAAAACGCCACAGTTTAACACATCCTCTCCTTCCATCTCCTCCACAATAAAATGACACACAGGAACACTTGTGCAATAATAGGGTACACATGTAATATTTAAAAAGCACTTTTTAGGTTAATTGTTTGGAACTGTTGTTAATTCAACACTTCGTTTTCATTTAATGACGTTAATAACATTTTGAAATAAAAGAAACGTACCATGAGACGGCTATTTGAATTGCATTTTTTTTAGACGTCCGAGTTCCGTGCGTCGTGACGTGATCTGCGTTACGTCACGACGCACGGCGGGCCTCGCTTCCACGCTCCGCGCCGCGAGCTGTCATCATTTCACCGGGAGAGGCGAAGGGCATCCGGGATAACAGCCGACTGGGGAGCCGCTGAACGCCAGCTTCTCGAGGTGAGAAACCGCGACTGACGAGTGAACGGAGGGCTGAGACTTACCGGGTCCGGTGTTAAGTCAAATAGACGGACCCGGGATCAGTTTAAAGAACGCTACGACGCGTCCTGAGTGAGGAGCTAGAACCTGCTAGCATGGTAGCCACGAATTAGCTAACACAGTCACACACACACAGTCACACACACACACACACACGGTACGGTTAACGTGAACGGTAGCTCATTTGTCAACTCACCCGCTGAAACCGTCCGTGTTGCCGAAGATAAAGTCCCACTCATAAGAATAAATAACGTAACAGGAAGTTCGTGTAAGTCCCTTTATCCTGCTAGCCAAGCATGCTAAAGTCAATTACTAAAGTAAAAGCTAATTGGCTAACTACATAACCCACTGCAAGCTAATCGTGTAGCCGGTTCGGGAGCAGCACTCTGTAGCTTGCGGCCTGCGTGTTACACTTAGGAGGTCATTTCACGATGTTTTCATAAAGAAAACATTTACGGTAACTCATGACTCACGAAAGGACAAAGTGACCGACATCCGTTGTAGCCAATAGAAAGAGGCGTTTGAGTTCCGCTCTAGCCAATGGAGAGGCGGTGTGGGCGTTTCCAGGCCGAGCCGGGCGAAACGAGAATGGAGACCCAGCAAGGTCAAAACAGCAGCTGAGCGACCGCATGGAGACTTAGAGGAGGTTTATAAGTATATATCTATATGTTTATCTGGACATATCTGTATGTATATGTGTATGATGGCTGGGTGTTATACAGGTTTAGCCGGTCTACCACCCAGCCCTAATACACACACACACACACATACCAACACACGTCAGGCCGGTGCGTCCCGGCAGCATTGTGTGTTGTTCACCTGCGTTGAGGACGCAGCGATAACTTATATCTTTATTGATATGCAGTCATGGTTATAACTTCTGTATTTCTAAAGTGATTACTCGTTAATTTATGTGATTTAGTCTTCAGAAAAACAGAAAGGAAAATAAACCTTTTAGATCATGATTACCCAATGCTTTCCAATAGTGTGTTATAATCTATTGACAGCCCTAATAAGTAAATTATATATATTATGTGCGTGCATGCGTGTTTCTCGTAGCTTCCTGTTTGTTGTGTCTGTCACTAAACGCCCCCTTCTCTGTGTCTCAGTGGACAGACGGATCCGGGGACAGTGGACGCTTGATTTCATCCCTCTCAGTCCTGGGACTAACCCCGGTGGAGTGACTTTGACCCCGTTGTGGTTCTGAGGACGTGCCGGCCCGTTGGCCCCAGACACCCCCCCCTCCCCCGCCGCGTGCGTGAGGCTTTCAGGACTTTGTGATGCACCGTTTAAGGACTTGTGCGGTGCGGTTGCGCCCGCTCACCGCCTCGCAGGCGGCTCAGACTGTCGGCCCGCAGCGGCCAATCACAGTTGCCTCCCCAGGGGGCGCAAGGACGTTTCCGCCCATAAGGGGCTACACGGCGCCCGTGGCCTCAGAGCCGTTCCTCAACGGGACGAGCTCCAACTACGTGGAGGAGATGTACTTTGCCTGGATGGAGGACCCTAAGAGTGTTCACAAGGTAAGGAGCAGTAGAGCCCCCCTGCTGGTGGGGAGGAAGATATAAATATAAAGGTGTGTGCAAAGGTCAGAGCGTCGTGAACACTGAGGTCATGTTTACATGGACGTGTATCATTTAGCTGAGGCTTTTATTCAAACTACGTAGAGCCATAAGTTCTACCTGGTCCAGGTGTGGTAGGTAGAGGTGCTACCTGGTCCAGGTGTGGTAGGTAGAGGTGCTACCTGGTCCAGGTGTGGTAGGTAGAGGTGCTACCTGGTCCAGGTGTGGTAGGTAGAGGTGCTACCTGATCCAGGTGTGGTAGGTAGAGGTGCTACCTGGTCCAGGTGTGGTAGGTAGAGGTGCTACCTGGTCCAGGTGTGGTAGGTAGAGGTGCTACCTGGTCCAGGTGTGGTAGGTAGAAGGTGCTACCTGGTCCAAGGTGTGGTAGGTAGAGGTGCTACCTGGTCCAGGTGTGGTAGGTAGAGGTGCTACCTGATCCAGGTGTGGTAGGTAGAGGTGCTCCCTGGTCCAGGTGTGGTAGGTAGAGGTGCTACCTGATCCAGGTGTGGTAGGTAGAGGTGCTACCTGGTCCAGGTGTGGTAGGTAGAGGTGCTACCTGGTCCAGGTGTGGTAGGTAGAGGTGCTACCTGGTCCAGGTCTGGTAGGTAGAGGTGCTACCTGGTCCAGATCTGGTAGGTAGAGGTGCTACCTAGTAGGTCTGTCAAAATTGCTCAAAAAGGACATTTGAATATTTGCTTTAAAAAAAGACAGATATTCGAATATATTCGGTACGTCAGGCTTCATTCAGTGATTGAAAGTGAAGGTTTTACAGTACCGACATTGAACGCTCCGAGCGAGCTGTGCTGTAAACACGGAACTTTTCATTGGCACGAAACGGCAAAAGTGCATGAAGCTGTTGTAGCCGATCTGGTCTGTTATTCATGCGATATGTAGTCAGGCGCGTGCTCGCTACGCAGACAGTCGCACCGCCGTTTTATTTTATTTTTATTTTTTTACATTTTTATTTTTTATATATTCAAATATGGAATATTCCTTGACAGCCCTACTACTTAGTCCAGGTGTGGTAGGTAGAGGTGCGTCAAGCTGTAAAGGCTCTCTGCTGTCCTGATGTCCTTTTGGAATTAATATTCAAAAAGAAACCCATCAGAGGCGTGCAGCTGCTCTTCTGTGCTTGTGCTAACCTCCTCCTCCTCCTCTTCCTCCTCCTGCAGTCGTGGGACGTGTTCTTCAGGAACGCTAACGCCGGTGCTCCTCCAGGAGCAGCCTACCAGTCTCCTCTGGGTCTGTCTGCTGCTCCTCAGCTCTCCTCTCTGGTGGGGGCTCAGCCCAACGTGGAGAAGCTGGTGGAGGACCATCTGGCGGTGCAGTCCCTCATCAGGGCCTACCAGGTACTCACACATACATATTCACACACGACATTTCCCCACAAGTGTCGCTACATTATGCACCGGGTCCTAAGTGGGTTAAAACGATAAAATTGATCTAAGAATGTCGTGCGTTATATTCTATATTGTCCTTTTTAAAGAGATAAACCAGAACATGAACATATTTTGTTTATCGTCAGTTTAATGTGTCAAGTGAATTCCTAATGTTACTTTTAAGATAAATGAGCTGCTGTTTTTATAATAAATTCTCATCATGTATAATTTATAACTGTATCCTCAGCTTGATTTCTTCCAGATTCATTGTGTAATGTGATATTTAATGGGTTCCTCACACGGTAGTTTCACAAGTTTGTTTCCTCTTTATTTTCGAATACATATTATTATATTTAAACAATTCTTATTGTTATTAGAAGCTTGGTTATTAGAAGATGGCGTTCAGCGTTTTGTGTGTTTTTAAAGCCTGTGATCAGTTAATGAAGCCAAAGGAATTGGTTTCTAATGATCATTGTATCAAAGACAAACACACCATAAAGCAGGGGGTGCTTTAGGGCGGGGCTTACTGTGATTGACAGGTCTCTACCAGAGACATACACGCCGTCTCTTCGTTGTGTGTGTGTGTGTGTGTGTGCGTGCGTGTAGGTGATGGGGCATCACAATGCCCAGTTGGATCCTCTGGGAATCAGCTGTGTGAATTTTGATGATGCTCCGGTGAATTCCGGCTTCCAGGATGTCGGTGAGACAACAGGACTGAGAAGACTATTGTGGCTTGTGGTGCTAATACTTCTCTCTCTCTCTCCCCCACCCTCCTCCTCTCCTCCTCTGGTTTCCTCTCTCCTCATCCGTGTGTCTAATCTTTTTTGTGGTGATATTCACCTGTTTTACTTCACAAACCTTCCATCCTGCTTCTCTGCTTGTTTGGTTCCTTCTCTCTTCCTTCACCTCTTTCATCTCACTCCATCCACTTCACCTTCTCCTTCATCTCATCCCTTCCTCTCCTCACTCCCTCTCGGGTGGGTTCCCCCTCTAGATCCGGGGGCATCACGTGGCTCAGTTGGACCCCCTCGGCATCATGGACGCCGACTTGGACTCGTGTGTCCCCACCGACATAATCACCTCCTCCGACAAGCTGGGTGAGGAGCTGACGCCTCTGGTCCTCCTCCTCAGGAGAACCTCTGGTCCTCCTGCAGTGTAGATGTCCCTCAGTGAACTTCTCCCAGCCTTCTTGTGTTTCTCATCGTGATCGATCATTACACCGTCAGCCCATTTCTCATCTTTAGGAGAGTTTTGGTTGTTTTTAAGGGCACTGAATAACACATAGAACCAGCACATGGAACCAGCATCACATAGAACCAGCACATGGAACCAGCATCACATAGAACCAGCACATGGAACCAGCATCACATAGAACCAGCACATGGAACCAGCATCACATAGAACCAGCACATGGAACCAGCATCACATAGAACCAGCACATGGAACCAGCATCACATAGAACCAGCACATGGAACCAGCATCACATAGA